ACCATCCAATTTACAATCTAGCTCTGCTCTTTTTCCTAAGAACTCATCACTCACTACTTGACATACTAAACATTTCAATCACTTAGTTTAGTTTCTAATTTCCTTCATTCGACTATAAGTACCACCAGGGCAGGAGTAGCCTGTTTTTTTCGTGTGTGTGTGTGTGTGTGTGTGTGTGTGTGTGTGTGTGTGTGTATGTGTATGTGTGTTGTGTTAGCCCAGCCTGAACTAGAACCAATTGTGTGGAGCCAGGAATAACCATTGTGCCTACCCTTCATCAGCTGTGAGATCACACACACAAGAAAACTCAGAATAGTGCCTTCCACACTATATAACCCCCAAGCCTGTCAGCTACTATTACTACCGCAATAGAAGTCCTGAGACACTCTGACATGTGGTGATGTATTTAGCTACAATAACTGCTAGAAAAACTTCATAATATAGCGATTTCTAGTTTTTAGTAACTAATGGACATAATGAGACTATTTCTACTTTTACCACCTCCCTCAAACTTAGAAAACACTATAAAGATTTTAAAGTATTTGAAATTCCGAAAAAATTTTAAGAAAAATGTTTGTATAAACCAAGAAGCTATACAGCTGAATGAGAAAGAGGAAAAGCCCATAACAACAGACAGGTCTTTACAAGTTCTGGACGTACTACTGTCTCAAGCCGGAGTTATTAACCGACAATAAGCCAAATAAAAACGATGGTTTGCTCTTCCCAGATGTTCCTTCTCTAGAGTAAAATGAAAAACCGCCTGTAGCAAGCAGCCCTGCTTCACTTCAAGGCCTTGCTCATGTCTTCACAGCCACTTTGGGCGGCTTTTTGGTTGGGGCAAGAGAGTGATCAGGCTCTCCACCCAGGTAAGGGTGCCAGGGCAGAGAGGGTACCCTGCCCTGCTTCTGTCTCCCTGCCTGCTTCACTCTGATCTCTGAGGCGACATGCTCTTAGCAGCCCAAATCGGTCCAAACTGAACTGGTAAATGAATCTCTGTAACAGTCAGAGCTCAGTGCAGCAGAGCCAGCTTCCCGCTGAGCACCTACTGTGTAGCATTAGTTTTCAATAATCTTGTTAAAGCATTTGCATCTTAGGAAGTTAAGGCTGCTGTAAGTCCAGGGCCTAAAAAGACAACAGTCTCTCAAACTTTCAGCTGGGAACAAAACAGGGTTTTTTGTTTTTGTTTTTTATTTGTTCAAAACTGTTGATTCAAATGGTGCCTCTTTAGAGAGATAACATCAGGCTAGGACTCACTGCCCAGCTGCCTGCTTTGAGTACCACCTCTGCCTTTCCCAGCTACAAAACCTCAGTACCTCACCCAGGTCGGTTTCCTAGTTCAGAAGTTCGAAATAAGCCTCAGAAAAATCATCGTAAGGGTTAAGTAAACACAGAGCTGAAATGGTTAATTTAGAGCCTAGGAATTGGCACACATTTAACAGTGAGCTGATAGCATCAGCGTTATAATAATTGTTAGAAAAATTTCCATCATTATCTAATCATATTTAATTGAGTTCATTAACAAAACAAAACAGAGCTGGATATCTACTTTAGTGGTGGGGCATTTGCCTACCATGCTCAAGGCGCCACTGGCATTCCTGAGTTCAATTCTTAGTACCGCCAACAACTCACACTCTGAAGATGCAAAAGTGCTTGAGTTTGACTTGTATTATGCTATATTCTTGCAACATACATAAATGTCCACATTTTATACATGAAATGGAGGCGCCCCAATGGTTTTAGTTGTATTCCTTCTCATACTCAGCCTCAACTTTTTTTTTTAATGCTATTTTGACTCTGGGTCTGGCTTTCTGCTCGGTTTTTTGAAAGGATTTATTGAAAACCCCATGGCTGGAAGGCTACTGCCACTCACCTTTCCAACAGTAAGCGTGGGAGGCAACAGTGACATCCATTTGGTTTCAGTTTGCGAATACACAAACACTTCATTGTACAGGAAAGGGCAGAGACTCTCAAGCATCAAAGGCGCACTGTTCTTGCTCCTGGGGTGTCTGTTCTACCTTTAACTCAGCAGTATTACATTTCCTGTCCCCCACAACAAACACCCCCCAGTTTATGGACACTCTCCAAACAAGTTCTAGTTGCTAATTTTTAAACACACAACACCACACAACTGAGTAAGCTTTCTGTCTTACCTCAGCTAGCAAGAACAAACACCACGAACTGGACAGCCCAAGCAACGGGAATTTATTTTTTTCTTATTTCTAGAGGTTGGGCTGTCAGAGACCAAGGTCTCAGCTAACGTGCTTTCTACCAAGAGCCTCTTCTTGGTTTCAAGATGGCCCCTTTCTCTTCTATCTCACAAGGCTCACATACAGCTCTGGTACTTCTTCCTCTTCTGATAAGCTGTTTCAGACTAGGGTCTCATCTTTATGATTTCATTTAATTGTCTGACTTCCTCACAGGTCTTAGCTACAAAGTTAGGGCTTCCGCCTTTAAACATTCAGTCCACAGATGTCTGCTAACTATACAAAGTGATACTTGCCTGTACCCTAAGCACTCAGAAGACAGAGGCAAGAGGATTGTTGCAAGTTCAGGGACAGCTTGAGATACCCAGCAAGTGCCAAATCAACTAGGAAAACTGAAACCTTGTCTTAAAACAACAATTCATAGTAAGTTACCACACGCACTTGGATTCCATTCCCAGCACCCACATAAAATAAAAAATAAATGTTTAGCCTAACAGATCCACATTTCTCTTAAGACAAAACAAACATAACACATGGTAAAGGAACTTTAGAAAGGACTGGTCACCTCCATAAAGAACGCCACCTGTTTCAATAGATTCTGGGCAGGGACCTAACTTCTAAAACCCATGTGCGCTCAAGTCTTTGAGCATCACATAGTTCAGATCATTATGACAGTAGCACCCATTTCTCAGAAAAATAGGGGGGTTCCTCATCACCCCTGGAAAAACAAGACTGCAAAAAGCTGTTGTTGGTGCCTAAGATCTGAAACCTCTGCTCTTGACAATTGTCCATGCCAACAGAGGAGCAATACTCGCCAGGCCTGGCAACTCAGTGGTGCCAGAACGAAACCAGAACGCGGGACCCCTTAAGTTCAGGCCAAGGAGCCAGTAACAACAGCTCCACATGGCACCAAGTCCCAGGTACTCCACATATCAAAGCAGGAAGGGAGCTCCCCAACCTTGGCAGCAGCCTGGAGCCGCACCAGGGTGCAGCAGTGAAGACCAGAACTCACGTCTCCTTCCTGGTTGACTCCCAAAGACCACTGCTTCCGCCTATATTTTAGATTCTCTTCCACTTTCCTCCCAAATGAGGACACTTGATGGGGACACACTTCTCTGTCCATTCCCCTGGGGATGGAAGTGAGCGCAAATCTCTCTTCTTCATCTAGGGTTTGTGCCTCCACTCTCATGACCTTGGCATTAACAGAGAATCTGAAGAGCACATGCTCGGGCAGCTTTGAGAGAGATAGAACTCTGCAAAACAAACCTAAAATTGTTAAGTTGTAGCGCAGTAAAGAGGTCCGTTGGGGTCCGGCTGGTCTTATAGGCTCTGTAAGACATTCTCACATGCGGGAACACATCACTTTCAGAGGCGTGGTGCTTAGCACTCAACAGTAGTCACTGTTTTTATAAGGGCTCCATCTGATGTGCCTTTATTTGCACAAGGCTGTACCTGCAGAAAGAAGGGTGTTCCCTACGGAGCGCTCTCCGGTCCACTGGGGTGACCAAGCAGGCTCTTTGTCTTAGGCTTTGAAACAGATAAAGTTCTCACTTGCTATTCCGGCTCGTAACACGGAGCAGTGTGCACATCTGCCAAATTGAGCAAGGCCCTTCACAGCCATTCTTGCTGCTCTCCAATTTCAGCCCAATTCGACTTTAAAAACTAGAAGCTCTAAAATCCAAGCCAAGGTAAAGGAAAGTTCACACTTGAAAAATTTTAACTTTTTAGTTGCGGTCCTATTCCTACACTATCTCTCAGTACAATTCAAAGGAGGGAAAAAAAAATCTCTTCCTATGTTCTGGGGGCACGTTATGACCCTTCAAAAAACACTACAGTCTGTTAAGACCTTAGCCATTTATTAAAGGTTTATTACATTTATTTATTCGATGTTTGTGTAAGACTCATGCGTGCGTGTGGAGGACAGAAGGCAGCATATGGGACTTACTTTCCCCTTTCTGCTCTGTGGGGCCCTCCATCCTAGGAAGAGCTTGACCTTGCAATCCTCCTGCCACAAGCCTTCCAAGTAATAGGATTATGCTGGTGCACCACCACACCCAGTTTGTTAAAATAATAATAATAACAACAACTCGTGTGCTCCTATTTGCTTCCTGTAGCTAATGATAAAAACCATTAGTAAAAGCCACTTGAGGAAGAAAGCATGTATTCTCTTTTAAACTTCCAGGTCATGGTCTATAACTGAGGGAAGTCAAGACAGGAACCCGGGGCGGGAACTGAAGCAGAGACCATGGAGGACTGCTGCTTATTGGTTTGCTTCCAGGTTCACGTTCAGCTATCATTTTTCCTCCAGACCAGGCCCACCTGCCTCAGCATGGTACTGCCCACGGTGTACCCGTCCCTCCTCCATCAATTAACAACCAAGAAAATGCTCCACAGTCATGCCCTCGAGCCAATCTGAGGAAAGCAATTCTTTAATTGGGGTTCCTTCCTCCCAAGAGTGTCAAACTGACAAGCCAGATTATCACAATGTTTACAACAGCTAGCCAACTGCACAGTTACATACTCATGCTTCTGAATAGCCTGGAATTTAAGCACATCAGCCACTCCCAAAGGTAAGTGCTATGCACTTTTGCACTGCTCAAAGGTACGGGCTAGGCGGTCTGTCTCGCCTGACTCCTTGTTCTTCCTGAGCAGACTGCTAGACCACAAAAAGCTTGCTGCTTTAGTGACAGGACGCATTGGTTCCAAAACCAAATAGTCTCTTTGCTGTCTGCCGAGCCTAATTTCACATGCAAATAACTCCTAGAGTGTTTCATAACGGAGTTACTTTGTCCTTACCAGAGCTGGACACACGCCTGATCCTCTGAGGTGACAGGGCCCTGTCAGAGCCTAGGGTTCTGCTGTCACTCTTCCTCCTCAGGCAGGAAACGGCAGGCCCCACTTTGGCTTTTAGACCTGGTGTTTTCCTCAGGCTGCAGGAGTCTGGCTTGGAACTGCTCCTTCCTGGAGTCGTGGAAGTTTTGGGTGTAGAACCCTGTGAGGAAACCAGTTAGGATTTCAGTCTCATCATGCTTTCCCCCGACACAACATCCCTGTGGTGTTGGCTCTGTGAGAGAAACCGCCTCTCTCTGTCTTTGGCTGTGCCAAAGAAGTATTTAATTACAGTTTTTACTGTGAACAATTAAGACTCTTCACAGCTGACTTCAATTTGTCCTGATCTCTCTTCAGGCCCATTAGTGGAACCCATCTCCAGTGTCCCAGCTGACTCCAGCAATACTGTTCAATCCTCTGCCAGAACAGACACTCAGCTATCCTCCTCCCCCAGTTGTCTGGTTATTCCTTGTCTGGGTCCTATTTTCTTATTTCTTGGGGTCTTGTTTTCTTCTTCCCACAACAAATCACCCCACAGAGCTTGTCTTCTGTTCCAACTACAGCTGATACGCTCAAAATCCACATTTCCAAGCCAACAGTCTCCCCTTCAGCTACCCCTGTATTTAATTTCTGTCTGCACCTCCCCACTGAGATCTTTCTACTCAGTAAAAACAACAATGATCCTATTATTGTTGGCATTCACTAACACAGAGCCCTTACACAACATAAAATACCATTCTAAACTGTTTATTTTTAGGTAGCTTGCAAAATGATTGACACTTGTATGTCATACAAAATATGGCAGTTTCACACACATATAGCTATATTTATATTTAACTTCTCATTATCCCTTATCCATCTTTCCCAGCTCTTTCCTCCTACTCCTTCTCCTTTCAAGTCACATCTATGCATACATATGTCTATACATACACATACATGCACGTACATATAAATATAAAATATAAACATAAAAATATATAAACATATATATTTAATCTAGCACACAAGGCAAAATGTGTGATTTTATTTCATCTTCTATATCACCCATTTTGTACCGATTTTCCTTTTCCTTAGACCTGTTCTTCTCTGTCAAAGTTCCTCCATTTTCAAGTTGTGCACCCACATGCATATACACACAAATACACAAAAAACCAGCCAGAAAGACAGGCTGATTCTGTGAATGAAAAAAAAAATGTATTTCTAAATCTGACCGATTTAAACTCAACATGATTTCCAGCCCCATCAATTCTACTGTAAATGGCAAAATTTCATTCTTTTTTATGGATGAGTGAAGTTTCATTGTGTATCTGTACCACCACTTTAATCTGCTCATCTGCTGACAGGCATCTGGACTTGTTCCCTATCTGGCCACTGTGAATAGTAAAGCAGTAAGCATGGATGTTTGGTTATCTGATAAGGCAGACTTGGGATTCCTTCTGGAGTAACTCCAGAAGCAGAGGTGGTTCTCCTCTCTCCCTCCCCTATCTCCCTGTCCCTCCCTCTCTCTCCTTCTTTCTCTCTCTCTCTCACTTTGTATCCCAGCTGTAGCCCCCTCCCAGTACTCGCCTCCCAGTCCCACCCTTGTTCCCTCTTCTCCCCCTACGCCCCTCCCCTAGTCCACTGATAGGGAAGGTCCTCCTCCCACTTCTATTTGACCCTAGCCTATCAAGTCTCATCAGGACTGGCTGCATCATCTTCCTCTGTGGCCTAGCAAGGCTGTACTGCGACCCCCCCACCCAGGGGAAGGTGATCAGAGAGCCTGCCACTGAGTTCATGTCAGACATAGACCCTGCTCCCCTAGGGAACACACATGGAGACTGAGCTGCCTGTGGTCTACATCTGAGCAGGGATCTAGGTCCTCTCCATGCATGGTCCTAGGTTGGCACATCAGTCCCTGTAGGGACCCCAGATTTTTTGGCTCTGTTGTTCTCCTTGTGGCACTGCTGTCCCCTCCAGCTCTTCCTATATCCCTTTCTTCCATAAGATTCCCTGTACTCTGCCCAAGGTCTGGCTATGAGACTCAGCATCTGCTTTGATACCCTGTCCATTCTAAAGTCTAAGCATGTTTATCAACTAATTTAAATCTGTTTAGTAACCCAGTAAGATTATCTGTCATATCCCATACTTTTGAAAGTGTGAAAACTTTCAATAATTAAAGTGGTTACCTATGTACCTCACAATTTATGCCTCATCTCCTATTAACACAGCCCTCTTTTCTACCTGCCTTTGTCTAAGAGCCAGCCTCATTTCTCAAAGATAACTGAAATCATGTCCTCGGGGCCAGGGATCACCAGCCTTTACTTCCCCTTCTATTCCCCTACCACAAAAACCTTCATCAAGTTCAACTCTTTTAAAGTCACATAAAACCCTTTAGGATGCAGCAGCCACTGTCACTGTCTTCCTCGCATTCCCCACTCCCATCACGACCTCTAACCTTTAGCTGGCATCCCCTGCATCAGACTATACCCGTTGTGTTTCTTCTTCTTAAGCCTGGCATTTTCTCTGCCCAGAACACACCTCCTGTAAGTGATGCCAAGTGACAAAATGGCATTTTCATCAGAAACGTCCCTTGATATCCTCCCAATTGCTACCACCCCCTTTCCTCTCCTGTAACACAGCGACCCATTCACACTCATAACTCAGTGCTTAGCATGTCCTGAAGGCTTACTTCTCACTGTCCCACTACACTAGATACAACATTTGTACCAAAGCTGTCTTTTTTTAATATACCCTAACAAGTTCTACCATGTGGCATACACAGTAGATTTCCACAAGTGTTTCCACTGTAGAGATAAACAAAACAAACAAACAAACAAACAAACAAACAGTAATCTGACTCTTGCTCCAAGTACAAATTCTAACACTACAAACTACAATTTTCTTCTCCCTTTACATAGAAAAACTGAGAAAAAAATGACCTCATAGAGAGGTCATTTTGCAGTGAATGATGGACCCACACATTTAAAATTATCCAAAATTCATGCACTTAAGCTCAGGCTTACACATTCCCTACCATGACCCTTCTTTGTTTAATCATAGATAACTGTTTCCAACAGTAAGATCCTAGACCTACTGTTTCCAACAGTAACATCCTAGGATGTTCCAACAGTAACATCCTAGTGTATGTTGAATCCATACACTAGGTGAAATCAATAGTAATCCAATAGCTAGTGTCCCAAGAGAACTGCCACGGGTCACGTTCACGGAGCACAAGGGAATCTTCTACTAGTGAAACTTTTTTTAAAAATGTAAGTCAAAAATCAAGTGTCCATAGGTGTGTGGGCTTATTTCTGGGTCTTCAACTCAATTCTATTGATCTAACAGTCTGTTTCTATGATGCACCAACCAAGGACCATGCATGAAGGGGACCTAAACCCCCTGCTTAGATGTAGCCCACAGGCAGCTCAGTCATGTTGGTCTCCTAGTAAGGGGAGCAGGGGCTGTCTCTGACATGGACTCGGTTGCCTGCTCTTTGATTACTTCCCCCTGGTGGGGGACAGGGGTACTGCCGGGCCACAGAAGAACAACATGCAGGCAGTCCTAATGAGACTTGATAGGCTAGGGTCAGATGGTGGGGGAGGAGGGCTCCCCCTTTTTGAGAAATAGGGTATGGAAATAGGAGGGAGAGGATACCACGAGGAGAGGAGAGGAGGAAGAGGGCTGTAATGGGGGATGTAAAGTGAGTAAATTATAAAAAATAAGTTTAATCTAAAAAGTCAAACTTCTCTTCAACTTAATGGTGTGAATCATCCACAAGCCACTTATTTTTACCTTCACAGCCCACATTCTGAAAAATTCTGAAGTCTGTGACATATGGGGCCTGAGTTTGGATATCCAACAGCTGTATGAGTTTTAAATAAACCCTCGGAAGCATTAACATGTAGCATTAACATTAGCAACTGCCCTGCTGTTTCAGGAAAAAAACAAAAACACAATGTATATAAGCCCTGAGCACTACCGGGACAATTAAATGAGAGCCTACAAGGAATGCACCTGAGCCATCTTTCCTTTACCCATGCATATATAACATATAACCTTTGCAATGGACAACTACTTTTAAGCATTTTATGGTAGTCCAAATCAAATCACTTCTCCCAAATAAAAACCTTTCTAAAGTTTCAGTCACTGAACAGCCATAAGGTGGTAGGCAGTGTCGTCGAATACATTAATTTAACTGAAGACTAAGACCAACAGAGTACACTTTAAAAAACAAAATCACCGTCCTTCTATGACAGATAGAGCCCTTACATACTACAGGAGTGACTAACAAAAAAAAAAAAAAAAAAGCAACGTCAGTTCACCCGTTTAGCATTCTACAATAAGCCTGTGGCTACGAAGGTTGGTCCGGCCTCTTCACTACCCTCCTTTCCTTAGGCTAGAACAAAAAAAATGTTTGAGAGTTGAATTAGACAAGTGGGAGTACGCTGCTGTGTTTCAGCCACAGTCACAGAAGCATAGTTCAGTGTTCTAGCTAATGAAGGCACCAGTGATGAGACAGACTGTGGGGCAGTCCTTCCAGCCTTCCACGGCAGCTCTTCGTATCTAATTCTGAGCTCTCACTGCAACATTGCTAAGGTGCCAACTGCAGGAATCCGTCTCATCTCACGCTTCCATGGCCTCACCTCAGTATCACATCATTGCCCGCAGCTACCTAATTGGAAACAAAAACCAAACCAAGACTCTCCAGTTTCAGAACTACACAAGCAATTCATATTCAAGACCAATGTTCAGGAAACTTTATGCTAGTTTTTCTCGTACTTGGAGGTTGACAGCCAGTAGGCGTCTCATAAAGCTAGGCGGTGGCGCACAAATAACCTTAGCACTAAGGGTGCTAAGCAAGAGGACCTCAGACTCAAGGGCAGCCTGGGCTTCTGTGGCTGGACTCAAAGCCGCACTGGCTGCAGCTTGGTTCCCCGTGTCTCACAGCAACAACAAATTCTCCGTAAATTAATGAAAAAGCCTCATGGTTTTGTGTACATCTATAAACACCTAAGACTACCGATTACAATTAAGAGTTTGTTGTAATTTTATTTGGGAAGATATTGAAGTCCTAAACGATCAGAGTTTCCTCGGCTAAACATAAAAAGAACTTGAAAGAGCTGTGTTCTGAAACAATATACAAGTTTGCCGGTAGAACTGTTGATAAAAACCAAAACACCTGTAAGCTGACCCAGGGTCAAGAGTATCTCCTGATGTTTCTTATCGAGGAGATGCCCGTGCGACCTGCCATGTATCCTGAACCACCACCACCTCACCTATTTCACCACGCTGTGAAATACACGCTCCTACACAAAAGTCCCCTCCCCCCACCCAAGACAGGCTGTCTGGGTTATGGCTGTCGTCCTCCTCTGCTCTCAGATCCATTCCCGGTCAAGAGGACGAGCTTTTCAAGGGCGGTCTGTGTGGGGCTGAAAATACTCCTCGGTCTTCACCGCCAAAAATAGAGGCGAGTACACACAGAGTTCCAGCAGTGGCATGGCAAATGTTTTCAAAACAGGTTTTTATCATATACCATTATAAAAAAAAAAAAAAAAAAAAAAAAACATGTTTAAGGAAAAATAACCTTTGGACTACACATAATGCTTTGATTTTTTTTTTTTTTTTTGAGGGACTCTATTCTCGTCCCCCCTCAGGATTTGACAGGTGCTGCTGAAGACACCCTGCCTTATTTACTGTGCTACTGTGCGTGGATTTTCGTTTCCCTCGTGCATTAGGGCTACAGGTACAAATGGGCTACAGGTGACCTGACCCACCCACCGCCCAAATCATTTCCCTTCTTGCCATGGCAGAGTTACCTGACCCATGTCACAGAGCTGCTTGGTAAACTCACAAATCTGAGAGAACAGGCTCCTCTGCTTCCAGGATCTCTGTGTTGATCTGTTTACCAGCAGCTTATAGCCCCCCACTCCTGTTGTTTGTTTGTTTGTTTGCTTGTTTAGAAAAGTAAAATACACTCTGATTATGTCAGCTACTTCACTTCAAATATCTAAATATATTCATTAAAATGTTAACTTATTCTTTTGAAAGACTATTACAAAAAGAGCACCATGTTCAAGAAAATACTGAAACTGAGTATTTTTTAACATGCAAGTTTGTTATATTTTTGACTCAACACTCTATCCTGGCTAACAGGACAAAGAATAACCGAATACAAATTATGAACTGAGTTCAGTGATATTAGCAATTAACAGGTAATAACTAGCAATTGCTGATATACCAGTTTTTCCCACCATTCCTAAAGGCAGACAGCACTTACCACAAAAAGAGATTTGGATTCAAAAGTCTCATTCATGGCTTGCTTTCCCAGCTCTTGCTTTTCCCTTGGAGCCTCACTATCCTTTTCACCCTTTTCAGGGCTAATCTGATCAATGTGAGAAAGGTACGTTACTTCCAAACACTCTGAACTTTTCATCTTAACTGGGAGAATGCCTTTGATCTTCTGGAAAAACGCAGCTACAGACCCAGGCTCGCTTGCTGCGTGAGGAGAACCTGCCTTGCCAACATCCTCCTGGGTCGATTTCATGGCAGATGTTGTTCTTGGAACCCTGAGTGAAGCGTTTTTAGGATGAGCTGTAACATGCACATCCTGGCTGGTGATGAGTTTATTAAACTGCTGCTTATGTGTCTTGCTAATTAGGATTTCTGCTTTTTTGTCTGCTTTCAAGTCAGACCTTGGCATTTTGCTCATAACCATCGACTGTTTAGAAGGCACTGGTGAGGGTGAGGAGTCCCCAGGAACCTGAGGGTTGGGTGTGCCCTTCGTTGGGGGACCATCTTTGGGTTGCAGCACTGACCTGGATATAACTTTGGCTTTAACATTTTTGAAGTTTGGTCTCGGATAACTTATAATTTCCGTTTTCCTAACTTTATTGCCTATGGTGGTACTCATTTTGGTAGCTGATTTTCCCAGATTGGGTTTTGACATATTTATTGGTGCTCCTTTCAAGTCTGCTGCATTTTTAGCATCTCTTGGCCCATTCTCCACATTATTGTTGCGCGTCTCTGTCACTTGGATGGGTGAACACATAAAGCTTACATTGGGGGGTTGCAGAACTGGTGTTGACATGCAAACTGTATTATTTGTGCTAATGGCTCTACCATCTTCATCCCAAGCCATTTCACACGATGAGATGCTCTGTCCTGGAACACTTCTCAGGGTCAGCTCTTTGGTACTACTTTGGATTTCTGAGTTGCTGTCATGAGAAGCGATGCGTGGGTCTTCCGTTGTGGTGACTGTATACTCAGAGTCCAGGACTCTGGGTTTACTCTTATCAAAAGCTGGCACCAGTAAAGGGCATCCACCATCAACATGACAGTTGGACAGTGTTTCTCGTAGATTTTGGCCCATTTCTTGTTGACCAACTGAGCCGTGTGAATGTGCCTCACTGTTGGATTCATCTTCAGATACACAATAGAACTCCTGTAGTACAGACCCATTGGGGACCTCCATGCCATCAGGAACTGGTGTCACAGCTTGTAGCTCTTTCTCTCCAACAAGTTCTTGTTCGGTCCCATCTGCATAGTCTTTGGTGACATTTCCTAAAGAATACGGACTCTGAATTCCAATGACTGGACTGTCGGTTTGCATCAGCACATCAGAACACACTGTGTAGGTTGTGTTTAGGGTCTCTGATGGTGTGGCTTGAAGGCTTTCAAAGTTCTCTCCATTACAATTAATGCCCGTCATGTGCATCTTAGAAGAATGGGGTGATGGCCAAGTAGAGCAGGAGAACAGTGTGCTTCCATCCCTCACACTTGTCGCCTGCAGCCCTCCAGCAGCATGTAAAGGCTGGCCCTGTTTGATAGCATGGTGGGCAATAAAGGTGCCGTTAACTGGGTCCACTTTCCCGTCAAATGTTCCTTTCAGCTCCAAAGCTGCGGGAGCGCCTGCACAATCCAAATCATCATCAGACTTACACACACAGGGAAGAGAGGACTCACCCCTCTCATTCTCGACAACCTCTAGGGAATCCATGTTACTGTGCAGGTCCAGGGCCTTCTCTGTATTCCCGAATGCAGAAGACCGGCAGGTGGGGTCACTATGCATTGCAAACTCACTAGTGAAACCACTTGAAGGCTCTGGGTAAGCAACTGCCTCAACACGCTGCTGGCCTAAAGAGACACTCTCACTATGGTCCACGGCGGGATGCATTTCGTAGTCAACCACCATGTCATCTGGGTTGGCAGAGTTCCAATCCCCGTGACTAGCTGAAGGGTGCTGCGTACATGGTGATGTTTTGTTGTATTCAGAGGTATTCAAGGTTTTATCACTGATAAATACGTAATGCAATCCATCTTCTGTCCTATCTGAATTAGCATCATTCATCCTGGATACTAACTTTAAACCTCTGCCATTTTATTTTTCTCTTCAAATCCTTCTAAATCCAGAGTGAATGAAAAATGGTCTTGCTCCTCCTATCTCTATTGCTTTCAGCCCAGTTCCAGGATTGTAGTCTTAGATGCTTTGAAGTTGAAGTGATTTGTTGTTCCCTGGAAAAAATAAAACATTTAACTCAAATATATGTTAGAACATTTACACGTCACCCTTTAATTAGCTTAGATCACTATTTTCACGCTACTAACTCACAATTATGAGTGTGCGTGGGAGATTTACAATATCATTGGCTAATCTACTACTCCCTTTTTTCGTGTGAAGGAATGGAACACGATGATATGGAAACACAGATGAAGTTTCCTACTGATATCACAGCCGACATTCTCCTCCATGACTCCCAGAGACTTCTTGGAAGGGGGAGGGGAAGGGAGGTGACTAAGTCTTTCCTTCTTACTAGTTGACAGTGAAACCATTCATCCTAATTTCCCTTGGCAGTCCCAATTTATGTCCACCATCCCAGCTTAATTCATAAGCACCCCACCCCCACCCCGCCACTGTCAGAAGGGCCCCCCTCTGCATGATTACCAGGTAGTTCGTGCAGGCCCAGGCCCCAGCCCCACAAATGAGGTAAAGAGACTTGACAAATTTATATTTCTCTTCCCCATTTCATTCCCATCTTAACCATGTGCCTTTCCAATGTGTGTGTGTGTGTGTGTGTGTGTGTGTGTATGTGTATGTGTGTGTGTTGAGATGTGTTGATATTAAGCACTGAATGAATGCTTTTAATCCAAGCACTTGAGAGGAAGAGGCCTGATCTAAAGCTTGAGAACATCCAGGGATGTTCTGAAGACAGAGAAACCCTGTCTTCAAAAACAAAACAAACAAAAAGTTGAAGTAGCCTCTGTTAGAGTATATGCTGAACCGTTTAACATTTCCAAGTAAATTGATACATTAAGCCAATCTTGTCCCTGATGCTTGACTAAATCCTGGAAATTGAGTCTGATGACAAGGTCTCTAAGGCAGCACAAACCGGGAGGACTTCTCCAGCAGAACTGCTACCCTTCTGAGAAGAGGCACCTGAAGGCCCCAGCCCCGCCTAGGACACAATAAAAACAAATGCACAGGATCCTCACAGAGCATTATTTACAACAGCTGAAGAGTAGAAGTATCATGTCCATCAGCAAGTAAACACACACAAAAAAAAACCTTGTACATTTATACATCAACATACTCTTGAGCAGAAAAAAAGAACAGAAAGATGGACACAGTGTTGTAATAGGAAAAGATTACACTAAGAGAAAGGAGTCACTCAAAACACTACCTGTTACGGTACCACTTATACAAAACGTTCAGAACAGACAAAACTATATATAGACGCACAAAGGACAGTGGAGGTTTGCATGGGAACAGCTAACTGGAATGATGTTTTAGTGGGTAATAAAGTGGTCTAAACCGATTTTGCTCCTAGTCTCACCAGTTACAGACAGATGCAAAGTTACTGAATTGTGTAATAGAAAACTTTTAAAACACCCAGAAAGATTTTAAAAAAGCTGAAGAGATGGTAAGAAGGTAAAGGTGTTTGCTGTGTAACTAGAGTTCAAGGCCCAGAGGCCATGGTTCAGGTGGAAGGAGTGGACAGGTACCACAGGTCCACAGACATGCCATGATGCGGAGGAGCGCACTTTCCCTGTCCCTTTCTCCCCCTCCCACCTCTCTTTTAAAAAAGATTTAAAATCATGTGTTTTTCTAATAAAATTTTAGTTTTGCTTAAGAAAGTTCCACATCTTCAAGGTGGAACTGCAAGTCACTCATAAATTTTCATTTCATCTGACTTTTCCCCTTATTGTTACGTTGTCAGTCATCTGTCATCATGCTGTGTTCTGAGTAAAATATCTGGTGGGAACAATGACATTCAGTGTGGTGATCTATAAAATTCTGAATTAAGAGCAGATCTTATTTCCCCACTTTGTGATCTTTACGACTCCATATTCAAACTCCAGTACCCAAGTAAAACTCAAAATGGAAACCAAAAAGCACCCAGTGGCTCGGCTGTTTCCACTAACAGTTTTTTTTGTGTGTGTTTCTGACCATACATCCTGAAATCAGCCTCTACTGGTGCAAAGAAAGGCTGGAGTATTCATCTCAACAGCATATACACACGTACGCATTTATGAACATAGACACACATATTCAGAGGCTGTGAATCCTACAGTGAGAGCTGCATATTTTATATATTTCATGTAAATTAGTCAAGTCCTTTACCAGACTGACTTAGTTAAAAGGATTCACTAATATATATATGTTCACTAATTAATATATATTCACATTCATTGACTAGGAGCTTCAAAGTTTTTATGCAGCACAAACTAGTAATTTATTACAATGAATTAATGTGTATTTGTGAGGGTAGGTGGCACTGACAGCCCCATGGATGTCAGAGGATTTGTGATAGTTGCTTCTGTCCTTCCACCATCTAGGTCCCAGTTTCAAACTCAAGCCATCAATCTTGGTGGTGAGTCATCTTGCTAACCCTACAGATTAGCATTTTTAACCCCGTTACGAAGTACATTCAAGTTAAAAGCTGAAATGTAAGACTATTGATTCATTTTCAGAAGCACCAAAATGACAGACCTTTCTGTTTCTTGAAGGGTAATGCTCCTTTAAGAGAATGTAGTGTAAGGGGTCATTTGAGTTACTTTTCTGTTGCTGTGATAAAATACCATGACAAAAAAAAAAAAAAAAAACAAAAAAAAAAAAAACACCTTAAGGAAGAAAGTTTACTGTGGCTTAAAATTCTAGAGGGAGCGTCCATGGAGGAAACCGAGAGAGAACACTCCACCACACACAGGAAGCAGAGGGAGTAAACCGGAAGTGGAGTGAGGATGTAAACTCTCAAAGTCCGGTCCCTCCATCACCGCCATACATACTTCCTCCAGCAAGGCTCTCCACCTGGAGGTTCTGAATGCCAAACAGTGCCACCATGTGGAGCCCAAGTATTCAAATATCCGAGTCCATGGGGAATGTTTCCTATTCAAACCAGCAAAGATTAAAGGGAATGACGAAGCCGGTGAGGGTAACAGTGGGGGCAAAAAGAACAAAATATGATACAAGTCGTATGATAATGAAAATGCCCAAATAAAACCCATTGTTTTCCCATTGTTAACTAAAAAGAAAAAAAGAAAGAAAGAAAGAAAAGGTGGGGGTTGGAAGATAAGAATGATGTGTAGAGGGATGATGAGAATCTGTAACAACCAAATGTAAACACAAACACTCTGTAAACATAAGCCTTATTAGCATGATTACAGACGTTATGTGCCTACATAAACAGGATCATTAAATTCAATTAATAGAATTATTACTTAATCTCTCTTTTCCAAAGTACAAAAAAGATTTCATAAAATATTTTAAAAGATACAAACTTAATAAATGGTTCAAATGGCGAAATTAAGTCATTTTGAAAAGATACATAATTGGAGAAATTATGGCACCAATTTCATACATGTTTTTTATGCTGTTGTTTGTTTTTCTTTCATAAAATGGCACTAAATTAAATGTCTTTGCAATCTTTTGACTTCTCATCAGCTACTCTGGAAATATTTTCTAAAGATAAAAGTAATATTAGTGTCCAAGTGGGTTACATAGTAATGGGAACAGGAACTGCCTCTGACATAATCTGATTGACCTGCTCTTTGATCACCTCCCCCTGAGGGGAGAGCAGCCTTACCAGGCCACAGAAGATGACAATGCAGCTACTCCTGATGAGATCTGATAGACTAAGATCAGAAGAAAGGAGAGGAGGACCTCCCCTATCAGTGAACTTGGAGAGGGGCATGCATGAAGAAGGGGGAAGGAGGGTGGGATCGGGAGGGGCTTATGGGAAATACAAAATGAATATAATGTAATTAATAAAAGTTTAAAAAAAGTAATATTAAGTCAAAGAACAAGGCTACAATTTAAGATGACATGGTTTATCAACTTTCAGGGTGGATGTGTGTTGTAATTTTGTTGTTTGGATTTTTCTTGTTGTTTTGGGGGAGTGTTTTTTGTTTGTTTTGTTTTATTTTTTCAAGAAAGGGTTCTTCTGTTCAATTCTGGAACTCCCTCTGTAGACAGACTGGCCTCGAATTCAGAGATCTGACTGCCTCTGACTCCAGAGCTGTGGGATTAAAGGCGTGCACCACCAATGCCTGACTTCAGTATTCTTTATATTACACATATTACCATGTGTAAACAAGCACATGATCTGACTTGCGCATTTCATTTAATACTATCTCACACTATTCACTATAGAACACAGTACCTGTGAAGTACCTTTAATGTGAAGATAAAGCCATGGACAGGAAAAGGGTAGCCATCCTTCCCTCAGGAGGTTGCTCAAAGTAGAAGACAGATCAGCCCATAAAGTGCTTGCCTTGCAAACAAAGGGACCAGAATTCAATCCCTAGAAGCCATTAAAAAAAGAGGCTGGGGGTGGGGCCTGGGAAGGTAGAGACATTTACCAACACGGTAAATGTCTAGTCAGCTTGGCCTAATGGAAGAGCAGGTCCAGGCCAGTAAGAACCCTAGCTCATTTATCTGGCCTCAAAACACACACACCTGCTAGCTGCAAGCATGCGGTCTCAGGACCGATTTCATCCTTCCCCTACTTTTAAGAATTCTACCTAAATGTTCCCCACTACATGCTAGTCACATATCCTATGACCTCATCTCACCTGATTCCTTAAGCAAAGTCTTCATATCCGTACCGCTGCAATATCATTTGTCCCAATTTTTAAGAAACCTCAAAGTTGCTGTCTTGGAAACATTTTTAAATCAAAACAAAGCAGAGATTTAAAACAAGAGAAAAAAAACCTGACCAACCAAAACAAAACAAACCACTTGGGACCAAGCTATTCTGACCCTCAGGGGATGGTTCTCAAGTTCTTCCAGTAGCTGTCTATCTAGCAGAGCACAGCACGGTGACCACATTCCCTTCTGAAAGAGAATTATCTGGAAAGAGCGTGACTTTCTGGGGACAGAACAAATTTCTTACTTATTACAGTTTGGAAATACAATAGGAGTTCATCCTGAATAAAAAAGCAACCATAATACCTATAAGGCCAAGAGCCTATAAGAAATCAGCCAGGCATGGCAGCGCACGTGTGAAATGTTGGCA